TATTAATCTACTTTTGCCCATCCCTATATACATTTAGGATTATATGAGCTAATACATATTAAAATACCATGTAGCATGCCTAGCATATAGTAGACACTAAATTTTTAGTTTGTTTTCCTTTCAATTGCTATACAAATAGGTATCAGAAATAAATAAAAAATATAAATGAAGTTAAACAAGATACAGAGCCTGTCTTTAGTGAACACATATACAAGTAGTTAGACCTGTAAATGGATAACATCACCATGCATTAAGTGCCATTATATTGATTAATGCAAAGATCAAAGAAAACATACAAGACGAAATAATCAGACAATGGTCCTCCACTGTACACTTCTGTCTTCCTTCTTCTGCCTTCTATTTTTCCTCATCTCTTCCCATCACCCAACCATTAGCTCAACAAATGTCAAAAGTTACGAGTGAATGCAACTTTATTGTGGAAGATGAAGGAACATGCCATTTCCATTCCTCTTCTTACTCATATCAAGCTCTCATTCCAAAGGTGCCATAAATTGGCTTAAGTAAGATAATGCTTTAGGTCTTTCTGTCTTTTTAAAGTTTAATGCTACATTGTTCTGTACTATATTATGGGTGAAAGCTATACCAAAAGACTGTGTATTTGATCTGACAGGAAGAAGCCCTGGTGCACTATGGTAAGAAAGGCCTCTTAATGAACGAAATGAAGATCTACCATCAATGCCATAAAGGAACTTGTCAGCAAATGAAAACAAAACAAAACAAAATCCAAATAAAACCCCAGATGAACCTGTTTACCTCAGGGATGCTCCACCTGTTACTCTAGTGTTAAAAAACTTTTTTTTTTTTTTTTTTTTTTTTGTTGGCGGGGGGTGGGGGGGGGGAGGGAGCATCTTTTACGGTTTTTCTGCTATCTTATTTTAGAGAAAGCCTAATGTCAGGCAGCATAACACAACTGTTCATCACAGGAGTACTCCTCACATTGTGTAAGACATGAATAAAGATGAGAAAGAGAAATATTTTAACACGTATTTGACACCTAAAATGTCCTACCCATCTAAATGTGATTTTGTACAATATTATCGTTTATCTTCCCAAATACTCTTAAGATTTTTGTATGTGAGCCAGCGAGTGAGACAATTTCTATTCTCCGTACTCCATTCTGTTCTTTCCTTGTCATCCATCATTTTATTCCAGAGGAAAGAAAATTCTGTGAAATTTGCCCTAGACATGATTGACTTTCTTTCCTGGATGATGCTCTTGGCTTTGATGGGATCAGACAAAGCAGGGTACTCCTTTTTTCTGTTTGTTTGTTTGTTTGCTCCATTAACTCTCTGGAGATCATACTAAGTTGCCAGCTTTCTGTTCTCATGTTCTGCATTTCTTCACTGATATCACCTCAGGCAGAGTTCTCAGTGTAACTCGGACATCTTCCTAGAAGTCTAGTTTTCAAACTTTAGCAGAAGTATAATTTTTAGCATGCAAAAGTATTAACCTGGGAAGCTTGTTAAAAATTCAGGTTTCTGGAAGTCATTCCCAGAGGTCCTGATTCATTTGAGATGGAGTGGAATCATGGAATCTAAAATTTTAGCAAGCACTGCCGGCTCCTCTACATAGTAGGTGCTTAGCCCTTGGAGAAACATGATTCTAGGCTCTGGTAATCCTCTCCTTGGCTTCATTTTTATCACTTATGGCTAATTGGATTTGTGTGTAGCTTCCTTAATGGCTTTAGCACCAGGCTACCAGCCTTCCTTTCTACAAAATGCCCTACCATTATTCTCAGAGAATTTGACATCCAGTTTGATGAGCCTTTTAATGGAGTGTCTGAAAACTTGTTAAATTGCTCCCAATCACAATTTTTAAAATTTATATTTGGAATTTTGCATAATCTTGAAGTGATCTAACATTTTACATTTTTTACTTTTGATAACACCCTCTTCAGATAAAAACATTTTATTCTTTCTCACCTTCTAACTTTCAATAAACTATTTGTTACTCCCATTCGAAAATAGTCTTCAGTCTTTCAAACTACCCTATTTATCTAATCAATCATTGTAATAAAAACCTTCAATTACTCAATGCCTATTGTGTGTTAGGCCCTTTACTTAGCATTGAATTGACATCACTTTGCAGATAGCCTGTGAGGTATTAACCTCATTTTAAAATATAAATAAAGCTCAGGAGATTCAGTAAAATATCTAAGGATACATAGTTTGTAAATAGAAGAAGCTAGATTTAAAACTGTTTGCATGACTGCAAAACCCTTAACCTGACTGACATAGCTTTCTTACTCAACTTACATAAAATGGTCAAGATGTTAGTTTTTCTTGCCTCTTCTTCACTTTCCATGGTAAAACATTTATTCTTGCCTATATATCTTTGCTGGAATGCTTTTTATCTGGAATGGTTTTAAAAATCAATGAATCAATCAAGACCCCAAATCTTTATTTTATATTTAAAAACAATATTGTTTTTTTCTTTTACTTGGCACATAGACTGTCTTTTGTGAATTATTTATATACCAGAGGCACAGTGCACAGATTCATGCACCAGTGGGGTCCCTCAGCCTAGCCTGTGCTCTCTCACAACCTGGGACCCCTCAGGGAAGGTCGGACTGCTGGTTTCAGCCAGATCCCCACAGGTTGAAACCGGCAGTCTGACATCTCCCAAGGGATGTAGTAGTGTCCGGAGTGGCAGGTGGCAGGGGAGGAGACTGAACCAGCGCCGTGCCACTCCCGCGCCCATCGGTCAGCTGAGCGGTGCTCCCGCTGTGGGAACGCATTGACCACCAGGGGCCAGTTCCTGCATTGAGCGTCTGCCCCTGGTGGTCAGTTTGAGTCATAGTGACTGGTCAAAGGGTAGACTGATTGCTTAAGGTTTTACATACATAGATGTGTTTCCTCTCAACCAGATTTTGAAGTTCTATAATAAGAAGCAGGTGTTACAGGAAGAAAAGCTCTCTCTAACATTATGCTTAGTGAAATAAGCCAGTCAAAGACAAGTACCATATAGTCTCACTCATATGTGGAATTTAATGAACAAACTGAACTACCAAGCAAAATGGAGATAGACCCATAGATAGAGAGCAGACAGACAGTTGTGGGGAGCGGGGGGTGGCCATGCTAGGCAGGGTGAAGAGATTGAGCAAAAAAGAAAAAAATGAGAGCGAACTAATGGACATGGACATGTGGTGATTGGTGGTGGTGGAGGGTGATGAGTGGAGGGCACAGATGGGATAAAAGGTGATGGAAAAATAAAATTAAATCAAAAATTAAAAAAGAAATTCAATATAAAAGAAAACCACACACACAAACAAGAAAAGCTCTCTCTATGGAGTCAAGACAAACTTGCTACAAATCACAGTTCCAGCACGTAATCTGAACAAACACAACTTCTCTGTTCTTTAGTTTATTATCCACCAGAAATATTATCTTCCATGCATGGCCATGGTGAGGATCAAATAATGTCTTATATCTGATGTGTCTGGAATAGCACCTTAAATATAGCTGGCACAATAAATTTTCTACTATAATCTCCCTGCTGCTGATTCTTGCCTCTCACCCCCAATACTAATCAGCAAAAAGGCGGTCACATGTAGTGAAAATGTAGGAAAAGGCAGCTACACTGGGAGCTGTCAAAATAGCTGTTTGTTGATGTGATGTGAGAAAAATTTACACCTCAAGCCCATTGCTCAATCCTTAAAAGGATGTTTTTTTAAAAATCAGGCTTGATGTATTTGTATAATATTTCCTTAATTAAAATAAATAAATAAGGTTTTGACTTTATAAATTGGGGGAAATCGCTTCAATTGAATCACATTTCATTAGGTATATTTATCTTAGTTAATAGGAGATAGAGGGCTTATGATTAAGTTCTATATTCATATCTCTTTTCCAACAAAATAAATATGTATGTATAAATCTATTATACCAAAGTACCAGTCACATCTTTACAGGAAATTCAAAAGTTTCCCCATAACTGAGCATGGGATACTACTTGCAAAAGTCAACTCAACCCAGGGTATCTCATCACGTGTGTCAATGCTGACTTAATCATTTTGTGCCAAATAAATAACAGGAGAATCTGCTATTTCCCAAACCATAAGTTGAACACTTATGAAGGCCTTATGAACCCATAACAAATTTCATATAAACTATATTATAACTGGATAATTTTATTTACCAGTTATGTGAGTTTAGTATGTTTACAATATCTGAAATTTCTTTTAAAAAATATAATGTCATTTTGTCATTGCTTCATACTTGTTTTCCAAGTAAAATAGAGGGAGTTCTTTGTCATGAGTGCATTATCTGACTAGCACAGCTATAAGTGAACATGGCTAACTGGCACTGTGTCTCAGTCAGGCAGCTAACTTAAACTAACGCCCTTCCCCAGCCCCAATGCATCTAGTTTCTCAAGGCCAGATTCAATTTCTCCATAAGGATGCTTGTGTATATAAGGGTCTGACCCTCTTTTCTGAACGTTTTATGTGTTCCAAGGTTGTGGCACTATGCCAGATTATTTTTCTATTATTATCTTAGAATAAAACCCACTGAAAGCCTGAAGCCAATATAACTCATTGTTATATGATTTTTCAGGGGCAGAATAATACTCAGTTCCATTAAGTGACATCCTTTCAATGTCAAGAGACCAGAGGGTTTGTTAAAATTGGACTAGTCGCGCAAAGAAAACAATGTGGCCAATATTCTGCCACCATTGGGAAGAGACGTCTTGTTTGTTGCTGGCAAGGCTTACAAGAACGATCTAATTCCAGAGAAGACTATTTGCATTAGCAACAGTATTCAAAGGCTAGCCCTTAGGTTCCTCTCCTTTCAAACTTCAGCTATGGGAGTGTAGAAGCCGTATTTTAAGAATATAATCTGCTCGTATGGTCATGAGAGGATAACTTTACATTCTAAGACTGAGAACATGACTGGTTAGGGTTTTGTTTTTAAATATATAGAGATATATCTTAAAACAAGATAAATAATGAAGTCACTTATAAAAAGAAATAATAACTTTACCCAAATATGTGCCTTAATTCTGTAAATTCTTTTTCTTTGATCCGCAGGTCATCTTCTAATCTTTCTATTATAACAACATAAGATTCGCTGACCTTTTTTTTCCATTCATCTAGAATAAAAAGGGGATCAACTCATAGTTTACATTGTTTTGCAAAATGTAAACACAGATCATAATATAGAAGTAATTAAAACTCTTTTATTCTTAATTCTACATACTTAATTTAAATTACTGTGAGCTTAAAATGCAGATGTTTATATTTAAAAGGCAATCATATTGAATTGAAGTGATTAAGAACCCATTTGATATTAGATAATACATTTACATAAAATATATATTTGACTTATATCATTGGATTTAATTGCTTTTTAATTATAGCAATCTCCAGTTTCTAGAAAAGAGTTTTTTGGTTCTAAATACTAGGTACTTAAGATATAATTCTAAGATCCCTATATTCAGCAGTATTACAATTTTTTCCCAAAAAAACAATATTATACCTAGGAACTAGTAATACATTTTTGTAATAAATTTGTTTTCTCTATTTCAAAAAAATTAATTTGAGTTCAGATATATTCATAACACTTTTGTATATTATATCATTTTATTACCTGTATAAAAATTAACAAATATTCCAAGGAAGTATTAATTATCTACCACTATTAATGAACCATATTACATTTGAAGATATAAAATATTTACCAGTGCAAGTTTGGGTTGGTCGAGATTTATAATTTCCCATTTGTTAGCTGTTTCTTCTTTTCCCCAGTGCAGTTCCTCACGTTACAAGATTCCAAGTTCAAGTGCTGTAACAGTCCAGTAGAAAAATACTTTGATAGCCTGGCTAAAAATAAGCAGACTACCAAATGGAATGTCATGCAACAGTGACAAAGAACAAAATAGTGTGTACTTTCAAGGGTAAAATCATAAAGGAAACTAATCGGCCTGTTTAAAAGTGTTGTGTCAAAAATAAATAGTAAATGTTTCAATAGGGTTATTTGCCTCCATCCATTGATTACCTACCCATGTATACTTTTTAAAAAATATTTTTTAAATCTTTGCTGTTGAAAGTATTACATATGTCCCCTTTTTTCTCCCATTGACCCCTTATAGCCCGCCTCTTCCCCCTACCCCAGGCCTCCACCACCCTATTGTCTGTGTCCATGGGTTATGCATATATGCATTCAAGTTCTTTGGTTGATCTCTTCCTACCCACCCACCCATCCACCTCTACCTTTCCTCTGAGATATATACTTTTATGGATCATTTCTTTAATAGGCATATCTAGAAAGTGATTCAGTTGTATATAAAGTCCACAAAGAACTATAAAAACTACCTCAGATTTTCTTTCAGAATCATTTTCCCCTGAGCCAAACCCACGGCAGTTGGAGAAGAGTGACTGTAGTATAATTTACCTCTACATATAAATAATGAAAACCCATAGAAATGATTGCAAGTTTTTCCTATATTAAAGCTACAAAATTATGTTTGTAAGAAGAAATTTTCAACATAGACCATGATTTATTTATACTAATTATTCTTCATGCTAATCTTAAGAATCATAGATAAGAATCTGAGACACTGAGTTTTACAAATAACATTTCATAAAATAATGACAAGAACAATAAGAAGAGTACAGATTGTGGATGAAAAGGGGCCTCATGGTAACCTGACTAACTCAAGGAAATCCTGCCCTGTGTGGCAACCTTGAAAACTCTAGAGACCTAAAGTAACCACAAAGGATGGTCTGAAATTAAAAACCTTTAATTAAAAGACAGTTTATGGTGGGTAGTTAGGTCCTAGGCCAGTATCTTTCCTAACAAAGATCAACTTTACTGAGCCTATTGTCTTTTGCATCTAAGATAACATACCTGAAGAATGTCAGGGTAACTTGTAACTTCCCTTTTTTTGGACCCCTCAGGGCACAACCATATGAGCCTGCTGGAACCAGGACTGAGACCTCAAACTCCTTCATTGTTATTGTTATCATGTTAATTGTTGACTGTTAATTACCCTGTACTCACCTAAGTAAAATAAGCATGTGTCTATCATTTTACTTTTTATCCAATCCCAGAGGTTCCCCCTCTTTGCTTTCTCCTACCTCCCTAATCTATCACCAATGGATTTAGTGTAACCCTCTTATGTCTACTCCTTTGATTGTAATGTATAAAACAAGGTAACACATTCTCCAGAGAATTATCCCAATACATTGAGATTCTGCTTCCTGTCAATTGTTGACAGTTTGGCTCAAATAAACTCACAAAAATTCTTTACAGGTTTGAATGCTTTTTATATTACAAGATAATAAGATTGAATGCCTGTTGTATGGCAGATACTCATACAATCCTATCTGGTATATATTTTTCCCATATTACGGTTGAAAAAAGCCAGATTTGCTAGTAGGTGGTAGAGTCTGGAATCATTTTTGATCTTTATGATTCTAAAGTCCAAGCTAGATATTGTTATTGATACATATTCTATAATTTCTCTTTCATTCACTTTCCACTTCATGAAGGCATTTCTCTTTGTATAAGTATAATTCTATCAATATAAATGAACTCAGGGTACAATGCAGATAGAATGGAAAACTCTGAAAGAAAAGATATCTGATTTTTAACTACATACTTATTTCGTATAATGTAATTATACCTATAAACTATACATTTTAATGTTTGTTGAGATTCACCTCCAGAGACTATAGTTTGAATGTAACAGGTATAGATTTTGTAGTTATGATAGTTGAACTAGAGGCCCAGTGCACAAAATTCAGGCACTGGTAGGGTCCCTAGTGGCTGGCAGTGACCAGCCAGGTACTCCCTCCCTTCCCCTGGCTGCCTGCCACGGGCCAGGGCCTCCCTCCCTTCCCCTGGCCAGCCCTGGCCCCTGGTCAAACTCCTGGAAGAACTCCTGGTAGAGGGGACAATTTGCATACTACTCTTTTATTATATAGGATGTTCAAATACTTAAATTTTTTTCCGCACAACTTTTGCTCAGCAAAAGTAAGTTAAGTTCCAGAGGTAGGGTTTCCATACTGATCAGATATAGCTGGAGAAATTTGACTTCACGAACATCTCCATCCTCCCCTAGATATAACTCTCCTTATCTTTCCTCATCAGTATATGCCATGGTTGTTGATGTCTGCTATGCTTTGGGGGCCTCTGTTTACTTGGTCCATGCATTCAGTTTTCTTTGTTCAAAGGGCAGACATCTTAAGTTGCACCAGCTTTCTTTCAGGTCAGAAAGTTTTTGCTTTCCTCCGGTATGCTGCCCTCAGGATCACTGAATTCACTACCTGGCTTCTCCAGTGCTTCCTTGGTCTGAAGATCTTACTAGTTGGTTTGCAATAGCGAGGGCTATGTCTTGGAAAGTAATTTACAAGTACTCTCTTCTCTCAAATTTCCTTTAAAATAATCTATGTCCCACACAGATAATAGTGCACTAGGCCTAGGGGGCGGGGGGTGAGATAGAGGGAGTCAAAGGGGGAATAAAGGAGGACATATGTAATATTTTGAACAATAAAGATAAATTTTTAAAAATTAAATTAAAACCCATGGTTTTCATATCCTGAATCCAGAGGGACAGGGATAAGAGGTAGGGCTCTAGGCCTTCTGTACAGCATTTAAATTTGTGTATTTTTCCTGATTTCCTTTCTTATTTTCTCTCTCCACCATCTTGGATCTTCTACACATGTATTGTGTGCATGTGTGTGCCACCCCTATTGATGAATAAAAGGTTAGTTCATATCATTTTGCATTGTCTTTCCCAATTTCCTGTTTGGGATATAACATAAAAATTGATCCACAAAATTTTAAGATTTTTACTTTCAAAAATCTTTTTGTTTTCCCTAAAAGGTTAGCTCTTACAAATGAAAGCTTTAGTTTTCAAAATTACTTATTTCTACTATGAGTTTACAAATCCAATTAGCATCTCAATTGAATTTTCCCATACCAGAGGCAATAAATTTTGTTCAAAAAAAATGGGAGAATAGCAGGAAATGATAATATTAATACCTAAAATATTAAACATCATTGAGCGATATAACACTTTCCTAGTTCTAAAGGCACAATATGTATAAGTTCATTCTAAGAATGTGGATTAATCCTCCTGAGGGTCATTAGTGAGGTGAACCAAAGCTGAAATAAGTAAGTGATCCAGGATAACACTCCTGCTTTCCTTTACAAAGAATGCTGAAGAGAATCCACATGGAAGCAGGAAATATTTTCCCCACTACTCAGTTCATTTCTGTAAAAATTACTTTTCTCTACATTAGTTGGCCACATGCTGTAAATGGAAATCTACTTATCTCTAAGTTCTAAGACTTCCAGATATAAGGAAGAAATGTTAACTCATCTACACTAATAAAAGACAAAGATGCTAATTGCCCATACCTTCACTACACCCAAGCCACGCCCACCAGCCAATCAGAGAGACTATATACAAATTAACCTAACCAAGATGGGGGCCGGCAGCCGCGGAGCTGGAGCAAGCAGTGGCTTGGTTGCCCTGGCGATGGAGGAAACCAAGCTTCCTGCCTGCCCTGGCCTACGGGTTCCCCCACCCTGATCTGGGACACCCTTCAGGGCAAAACAGCTGGCCCCCACCCATGCACCAGGCCTCTATCCTATATAATAAAAGGATAATATGCAAATTGACCCTAACAGCAGAAGGACTGGGAAAGACTGGTCACTATGACACACACTGACCACCAGGAGGCAGATGCTCAATGCAGGAGCTGCCCCCTGATGGTCAGTGCACTCCTACAGGGGGAACACCGCTCAACCAGAAAGCGGGCTCACAGTTAGCAAGCGCAGCGGTGGTGGCGGGAGCCTCTCCTGCCTCCATAGCAGCGCTAAGGAGCAGTGAGCTGAGTGGTAAAGTGCAGGAAGCAGGTGGGCGATAAGGAGCCAGGGCTCCCGTACTACTAGAAGGTGTAGACTGGGCTAAGGGACTCCCCCAGTGCAGGAATTTCGTGCCCCAGGCCTCTAGTATATTATTAAAAAAACACAAACAAACAAACGAACAAAAAAACCTAATTACAAAAGTGTTCACCTTCTCAAATTTTAGTAAAAGTAGAATCCACCTAGTGATACTTTGTAAATAAACATAAACCTGGGCTCCATTCTCAGAAATTCTGGGCCCAGGAATTTGAATTTTAATAGACACTCCTAGTGATTCTAAGGTAGATGATATTTGGGACATACTTTGAGAGGCACTATTTTAAGGTTGATTAAAGTGAGATGTCTACTTGAATTCCATCTAAGAGAAAAGAGAACTGGAGTAAAGAGAAAAAATAATTGTTTCAGATTTTCAGAGTTCTATCCTGGGTTATCATAAGGGCAACAGATGATTCGACTGTGCATGTACAGTTTCATATTTTAAGTGATTTACAAAAATATGGATGCAACCAACATGCCTTTTCAGAGGAGAATGAATAAACAAATTATATGTATATCCATAGAGTAGAATATTATTCAGAAATAAATAAAATGAGCTAACAAACCAAGAAAAGTCATGCAAGAACCTTAAATGAAGAATGTTAGATAAGGCTACATATTACATAATACCAAGTATATAACGTTTTGGAAAATGCAAAACTATAGACCCAGTAAAAAATTATTGGTTGCCAGGAGGGGAGAAGGAAGGTATGAATGAGTAGTTTGAACACTGGAAATCTTTAGGCTAGTGAAATTATTCTGTAAAATACTGTAATGGCAGATACATGACATTATGTATTTGGAAAACCTCACAAAACTGTAAAACATGAAGACTTTAATCAATAATAATGTATCAATATTGGTTCAGCAAA